GCCTGGTGTCGCTGCCACTTTTCCATCTGTGACAACCTGGGGAATGGCATCCTGACAGCGTCGTCCAGCACCGGAACCAATACTTCATGAATAATGCAAAGGAAACCATTCGTCAATTACAGTCAATCGTATCCAAGCTCAGACATCATGAAATTCATGAATTTTGATGAAAAAAAATGCTGAAAAAAAGCCAAAAAAAAACGCAAAACCAACTCGATTCTTCCGGGTTCATCTTGGGCCTTGCCTCCACTGAGTTGTTGTGCTCTTTCACCTCAGCAATTGCCTCCTTCACCTGGTCAGAAGCCATTTCTGTCGAGAAAACTGATTCGATGTCCCAAATGGAGAAAAAAAAAATGCATAAACTGACCCTTCAATTTGGTTGACAAATTAAAAAGGCAACAATGAGGATGTATCATGATGTGTTCCAAACATTCCAGGCCTTTTGCAGGGTCGAGTCAGCACCTGCGCGGAAGTGCGGTGTTGGTTTCTGTTGGTTTCTGTTTCTCGGCTTCTCGGTCCGTAGCCGCCGTAGCCGCCGTAGCCAAGGCCCGGACTTTGCAGGTCATTCACGGGCCTCGGCGACTCGCTTGCTGATCTTTCACGTAACTCAAGAAGTGATAGTAGGTGCATATTTCTTGAGATTTCAATTATTCACATATCATCACATATCCACATGATACGTGTGTTTTCTATTGCACTTCCACCTCCATTTCTCAACTGTTGATGTCTCATCTGCCGATTGCCAGGTTTTGGACAGTAAAGAACACAGCAATACCAGATAATACCAGCCCTCCTCCCTTAGGCCAAGACAGAATGGTGACACTCAAGCTGGTCGCCCTCACCGTGAAGTTCAGACCTTAGCCGTGCCAGGCCTTGCCAGTTGTTTCATGTTGTTTCATGTTGTTTCACTGATTGAGATGCAGACCCACGGCGTCCAGTTGCAAGCGAACCTGTGCAACACATTCAACACATTCCATCCAGCTTCAGTAAAATTAGGATGGTCAGGATGGTCTTCATAATCTGTTCATAGGTTTGTTGATGGTTTCTTGAGGATTCTCTATGAGTTTTCGGGCTCCCCACCTCTCCAGTCACCGTGTCGATGTCTTGCTTGGAGATCTTCTGCGCTATACCTCGAGCTCAGCTCCTATGGTAACATCATCATTTTAACATCCCAATGGGGTTGTCATGTTTATAACTTGGTTATAACCTCCTTATAACCTGGTTATAAGTTATAACTGTAACCTGGTTATCATATGTTACGAGTATCATGTGTTATCATTGTTGTCATTTCATGTCATTTCCGAAGGGCTGAGATCTTGGATTATCCTTTCTCTCCAAGCATCTTGGATGATCACACGTAGATTTCTCTGTCCATCTGGAAAACAATGAAATTAGCATAAATTAGCACACAAATTCCGTCACTGCCAGCTATGGCAGCTATGGACTTTGGCAGCCTTTGATTTTCAAAGACATCAAAGATATCAAAGATATCAAGAGTAACACTTGGAGCTCAAGCATGTTGTTGCAAAATGTTGCAAAGCCACAATGACCCACCGATGTCGTTGAGGACACGACTCTCAGCACTTTCGGAACTCTCCAAGACCTGCAGAGGTGCTGTCATGGATCGTATTGGAATAGCATTGGAATGGCCGAAAACATCGAAAACGACCAGGAATTCGGATGACTTGGGCTCATTTTTGCTTCAGCCTCGATGAGGTATGCCACGTTCACATTCCCTGCAGCTCTCCGTCTCCACATGGAGAGGAGAATGGCTTGAGGGATGGTCAAATCCACCTGAGCCAAGTGATTGTAACTGTGTAACTCGGAAAGCTTGGAAATATGTCGCGTGCGGCCTTGACATTGGAAGATGTGATGCCACTCACCTTGGCCAAATTGCTGACAGCCTGACAGGATCTGTCAAGATCTGACAAGATCTGACAAGTGAAACCAGCCATTTTCAAGGGAGAACAAAGCCTTGGATGGTACTAATATGTACTAATATGTACCTAGTGGTTCTAGCCAACACTTGACAACGCCAAATCTGTAGGAGTTCATGGCTCAAACATGTGAAAACATGACATCGACCTCATTTTTTAACCATTTTTAACCCATCAACTCATCAACCTGACCGTCCTGACCTGCTGCATGGCCGTTTTCACCCCCGGAAGTGAGACGAACTTGTCAGCGTCATCCACATCCAAGGCCAGGTCACCTCAGCTCCAAGAATCCTTGATCCAAGATGATCCAAGACATTCCAAGATCCTGGAAAGCAACTAATGACTACAGAATTGTTCGAAAGTAAAATTGTGGAACTTCTGCTGTGATTGTCAGTCCGGAAAAAGAAAACTGTCTCAAAGATTGGACTCATCAGCGAGGCTGATACCTGCCACTTCGGCTTTAATTTTGGCATCCTGCCAGAATCAAGTGTTGAAAGTTGAAAGTAGGCACAATCGGACAGAATCGTAAAAATCTCGTGTAAATCACGTTGGACGCACTAGAAGTGAACGTTTCAGCATCTGGTCCTGGCTGAGAAATGGCACCTGGGGTCAGCAAATTCATGAAAGTAAGGCCATCAGACACGATGATTTCATCAAGTGCTCAGAGCTTCTAAGTTGAGGCAAAGGCCGTAAAGTTCTTGGAAGATTCCTCAGGACCAAGAAGCTATTGAAAAATGGACATAGAGAAAGGTCATGAAATCTCCAACTGAGTATTGCTAGTTGAACCCCGAAAAAAAAGCGGGGATGCCAACAGTAGAGCCTGCAAGATGAAGGATTGCCGAGGTTTGGACTGTCATTGGAGTCGAAGCGGCAGCAGCCGACAAATTCCTGTGAGATATTTGCAGTTCTTCTCTGTTCACACGGAATTTCTAAAAATCAAAAGTCTCAAAAACCGAGCAAACACATTAGGCTGCCCTAACAGCTGCAGTCAGCAGCTGACTGCCCTCAGCTTCACTCAGCTTCACTCAGCTTCACTCAGCTTCACTCAGCTGCCTCATGATCTCCAAGTCTTCGGGCGACATCTCACCAGGCTCCTGTATCGGCTGTACTTCACTGCCATCCCTGTGAGATACTCGAGGCTCCACTCGAGGCTCCACTCGAGTCTCGAACTCGAGTCTCGAACTCGCCTTCTGGGCGCGATCGATGACCTTCTGGGCTTTGTCCACCAGGTATTTGTCCAAATCCTTCGGGGAGGCCTTGGACAGGTCCGCCTGGCGTCAACAGCGTCAACGGCATCAACGCGTCAAGGTCTGCCGAGGTGACGAGATGGCCAGATGGCCACGGCAGCCGTTGAAACATGCCAGGACGTGCCGAGAGGTTGGCCATCGCTTCGTTGACCTTGGCGTCATCCGGTTCCACGTCCGGCTCAGCCTGGGCAGCGTCAGAAACAGTTGATTTTTCGAAGACCATCCTGCAGAATCCTGCATTGAAATACTGGTAGTAATTATTCCTGATAGTACTGGTTCAATGTGTCATGGGGTTCCACATGTTCAGAAATGGATCGAATAAATTCATCCCAAAGAAACGATCCAAAAACAAAAAGTCGCATCATGTCGCATCAAACCCTGAAGTCACGTTCACTCCGTTCACTCCGTTCACTCCGTTCACTTCCCTTGGGACTTGCCTGCTTGCTGGTCGCTTTTGGCATCGTCGTGCCTTGCTTAAAACTATTCGGCGGAACTTCGAACAGAGATCTGTACAGGGACTGACTACTGATGACTACTGGCTGGTTTCACCCCTCAGCTCCATACTGATTGTACTGCTTGCTAGTTTCAGACCTCAAGGTCTGCATCATCACGCCCAAAAAAGACATAAAAGATATCCAAATCCCCAACAACATCAAATCATATTAAATCCATAACGTTCAAAAGTAGCATAACGTAACATAACATAACAGCAAACACGGCAAACATATGGCAAAAAAAAGTGCCGCACTGGTGGTGCTTGCCAAATCTCGTGGATCCTTCGGTGCGTGGAAATGCACGGCAGATCGCTGAGATGAAGGGAAATGCACGGAGATCGTAGCCTTGACAGAACTGAAGTTCTTCATCAAATCGCTGGGGAGAGGAATCTCCTGGAGTCGCTGTCGCGGCTTCTTTTTTTCCGAAAGTGTGGTGGTGTTCTTAAAAGATGTTGAAAGATGATGGAAAACTGGGTTGCCGGATGCCAGTCATGCTGCTTTCCGTGGCGACTTGGGGCGAAAGGACCAGATCCACCTTGAGTGACGCAGGAATTCGGGGGAACGGTGGGTAACGGGTGACTGTAGACTGAGAGTTTTGCGATCTCCCCAACGATCCTCAGTGATCCGCGAGGTTGTTTGGAAAGCCCACGAAACTTCAGTTGAGCACTTCTGGAAGACCCTATTGGATTTACTGCTTGATAAGGATACAGGATAGCCATGATGGGCTGTCAATCAAGAAGAATCCATACCCATTCAACCCGGTAATTTTCGCAATTTGTCACCCCACCCATTGCCGCAGACATCCACAAACATTTGCAGATCCAGCCCATTTGAGAAGCAAACCGCGGTTGTGGTGGTACTGGGTGGAGCCGTGGTCAGGATGGGACCTGTGCCGCCATGGTTTTTTGGATCTTGGAGGATTTGGATGGCGGTCCCAAGGTCCTAAGGGCCCAACACCCTTCAGTGGCGTTGTTGGAGCCGCATTCACCCGACTGCACCATGGTCTCATCACAAGGCCTGGACCAAATCACTGGTCTAAGGTTCCGATGACTCAGATGACTGTAGATAAATCAAAGACCCAAAAGAAAATTTACACACCATCCGATGAAATAGTTGATCTCCAATAAGGGCAATGTTCAATATGTTCAATGGCTTTGACTTTAGTAAATCTTTAGCTTCAAATGTGGTCTCATCGTGTTTCGTCCAATGCATTGATCTGTTTGGGTTCGTAGGGTGCAAGCCGTCCGCCATAGAGTTCAGCCGACTTTACCTGACCCAAATTCCTGAAGCTGCGTGAAGTGCAGCTGCAGACAGAAGTGGCTCAATTTCATGTAGCCGAGTCGCGGAGTAGCCGAGTAGTCAACAAAAAGATGCAAAGGAATGCAAAAGGTACAAAAGTGCAAAAGTTGCCGCTTCAACTGATCTTCAATCCCCAACGTCCAAAGAAAATCATGCGCTTGCCGCTTGACCAAAAGAATTTCAGGTTGTGCAGTGTCAAAATCCCATGCTTTGCCATTTCATCTTTACCTGTCAGCGTCCCAGTGTCGTTAAGATCTGGGTTCTCTGACTCGTGTCCGGAAGCGCTGCCCAATGCCACAAGTGGTCGAGCAGTCTCCCCACTCTTGCCACCTCGGATGGGCCGGTGAATCGCAGCGGGATCGACCCAGAGATCAACAGTTTTTGGTGGCTGATTTTTGATGATGTTTGATGATGTTTGATGATTTTTGGAACAAACTTGCTGATTGCACTGATTTGTTGATGATTTTTGGCACAAACTTCAACTCATGGGCTGAGTTCCAAGATCCACACGAGGAAAATTTGCAATCCACTGGACATGGGTCTTCGTTGCACCCCTCCCTCTCGGTGTTGTTCCCGACCTGCAGGGAGTCACAGACGTTGACCACTTGTAGATCTTACAGATCGTTTTCAAAGCAAGTCATCGCCGTCATCTACCATTTTTCATCCATGTTCATCCATTTTCTGTCTCCAATCTCTTTCGACGAGGCACACAAGGTAGTCCACCGTTTCTCTCCTCTTGCCTCCGCCGAACAAAAAGCAAAACACCAAGAAATTGAAGCACAGCATAGCACAGACTCACCGGTATGCACTATTCATGAGCATAGCTGGCCATGGCATTCAACATATTTTCCCAAGCAGATCCGGAGCGCACTTCTTGACTCTGGAGTGTGTGCGAATGGCACCATCACAGGTCACAGGGCAGGCACTCCATTCCTCGCCAATAAAATAGTTGACATTTCAAATATGTGAAAAAATCTGAAAATATATGTTTAAAATAATATATTGGGATGTCAAGATAACTGGAAACTGAGCTTATGCAGCTGCCAAGGCCCTGGCAGTCCATGCGTCCCACTCGCAGTGTACGGGACCTGAGCGTAGAAATAAAGGTCTGCAAAACAAAACATGCGCAAAATCAGAATATGATGACATCATTACAAAAAAAGACACTGTGGGAATCGGTTCTCATGATTATTCATGATTTTCCTAATGAACTCAAGTGGTTTTGTTCAGATTTGTTCAAATCTTCCAGATTTCCAAAGGATTTCCAAAGGATTTCTTGGGGCTCCTGGATGATGCTGGATGCTGGATGTTCCTGGCATTCCATGGAGTTGCACTCCGCTTTCTCCTCCGTTGGGCCTAAGGGCATGTCACGAGGTCGCGAGACAGGTATCGGAGATGATCGGAGCTATCCGAAAAGCTTGTCTGGCATTGAATGGTTCTACCCATTGTAAACGTTGTACCCCGCATTTACCGTTTACCTCCGTTTACCTCCCTTTTTAAAGTTCAAAACCGCGCGTGGATCTCTTTTGCACGAAATTATTCCGAAACCAGCTCAACGTCATTCACTTAGAGAGGTTCAGAGAGCAAAGAAGTACCACCAGATCTCACTACAAATCAGGGCTCTGGCCGTCGCAGGAAACTCCTCCGTTTTTCCTGCAAAGTGTGACGTCACGTTTCTGTTATTTAGGCCATAAGTGACACAAACATGACACCATGTGACACCTAATGACACACCTGGTGACACCTTGCGTTTTGAGGGAAATCTTCACACGACACCAAGTGGCACAAATGACGGGAGAATTTGGTCCTTGGAATGGCAATATCTCGAAATCGTTTGATTTCACCACCTCCACAGATCTTGGAGCATTTGGTCCTGTGTCAGACAGGTTACGACAGCAAGAGATGTCAAGAGTCAAGTTACAACCGGTGCAAAAAGGTACAAAAAGGTCACAGGGGCTGAAAGATGCTGAAAGGATGGTGAAAGGCTGGTGAACCAAGGCACCATTCTGTCCACTCAGACCACTGGCAGTCGCGCGGACCTGAGCCGTTGAAATCTCCGGTGGGTCGCTACTGGGTCGCCACTGGGGCCACGACAGCCCTGGGTGTTGCAGAAGTTGGACTCTTCCGAATCGCCGGAGCAAGGCCGACCGCCAAAGGTCTGCCAAGCCAGAACGAAACACATTTAAAAAAAAAAACATGTTTAGAAAATGATTAAAAGATTTGAAAACATCTGAAAAACACCGAAGCCAAAAAAACATCAAGAAATTGGCAGTGTTTAGTTCTTTATCAATTTTTGTTTTGGTTCTTTTTAGTTCTTTGGTTGAGGTGTTGAGAATTCTGAGTTTCTCAAGCTCGGTGTACAGATCGGCCTCCAGTGGAGACTTCACTCTGTTGCGCGACATGGTCCCTGTGTCACAAGTCTTGGAGCAGAGGGTGTACTTGCTCCAACCTCAGCCAGATCTCCAAGATCTCCAAGATCTCCAAGTGGAATTGAGATTTTGATTTTTAAAAAAATCCTTCCAACCATGACATCTCTCTATGAATAGATCTCTAATATGATTTTGTAATATTATGAACTTACATGACTCAAAATACTCAAATGTAAATCTGAGATGAAGAAAATCCATGTGGGTGATTCACTGAGAAGAAGGCTGGACCACTGGCAATCAACGGGGCAAGGCTGTTCGTTGCAACTCTCCTGCGACGTCGTTCCGTGTAGTGCCTAAAGTCACTGGGTTAACCTGGCTATACCTGGGGGGTATACCTGGGGTATCTGTGATATTCTGTGATCATATGCTGCCAGAAAAAGTGCCATGGCCAGCAACCCTGTAGCTCTGGATGCTCTGTCCGTCTTCTCGTTGGGCGGACCACCCAAGTCGTTTTTGGTCTCACATTCCAAGCCACCTGTGGAGCGTCAGGCAACGAATGGCAACCAGCAACCAATGGCAACGTGTCTCTGAGTTCCCAGCCCCATTGAGGTGCAATCTCCACCACTCGGCTTTGAGTCCTGCGCAATTTAAGGGTCAGCTTCAGCGGAATCCAGAATACAACAATTCGTCAGAAATCCGGATCCAAAACTGGTGAACATTCACGGCCATTCACCAGTTTCCACCGGCATTTTTCACCCTTTCTTTCAGATCGTCCTGGTGCCACCACCACAGGAACTGGAGCATGCAGACCATTCGCTCCAAGGGATCCATTTGCAATCCACTGGGCAGCCCTGGATGTTGCACACGCCATCTTCATCCGCACTACCAACACACGCTCTGCCACCGTGCGCAGCACTCACCTTGCCATCTGCCATCTGTTGCCATATGCTACATGGAAACTACTGGAAGCACCAGGTCAAAAGCAAAGTCATGAAAGGTTGAGACGGTTTGTGAAAGCTTTTCTCCAACTCTCGCAATGTCCCCCATTGTCCAATTCTATCCAAGTCCATCGAATTCGCCGCCTTCTCGGTTCGTTTTCTGGAGTTGATGCCCCCATTGCAGGTGCGGCTACATCTACTCCAGCCTTCCCAAGATGACCACCTCAGATGAAATTCGTGAAATGTCATATTAGTCAAACATGATGTAGAGTTGATCCATATTGATCCAATTTTCATATGTGTTTTGATGTCTTTTGCTTTATTTTATCTTTGTTGCACCCTTTTGCACCTGGGGCCCCTCGTGTCCAAAAGAACAAAATCTCCAAGGGCTCGGCTGACAGTCCACGGGACATACGCCCGGATCACACTCTTTCGTCTCGTTGAGATCTGCGCTGCACTCCTGGCACAAAAATGACAAAAATGCACAAAATCCGCAGAGCATTGCAATAACTCGCAACGCAACTTGCGACGCAACTCGCGACGCCTTAGACTCTGTTAAGATCTGTTAAGATCTGTTGGGCATTTGTTAAGGACTTAAGAGTTGTCAGAAATTGTAACTGACGAAGTGTGCGATGTGTGGACGACTTCTGTCGAGTGTTAACGAGTTCCATTGGTTCCGTTGGTTCCGTTGCGTCCTGGCCACCATTGGCTGGTCCGACTCGAATGCCACGCAAGCGCAGTTGGGAACCTCCAACCATGGGGAAAAGATACCATCATGTTCAATTGATTTCAATTGGGATATGTTATTTTGCAAATATATATATATATATGATATATATATATGTATACGTGATACCTATTGTGTCTATCATTTTCTCTGTTTCTTGAGTTTCATCAAGCTGATTGACCTACACCTATGTCAACACCATAAGACCATAAGGATCCATAAGGTACATTGAATGACCATGCCCCATTGACCAAAGTGGAGGGCAATGGAAGCCAAACCCCAAAACATGGCTCATTATGGGACCACATGATACGGGGGGTCAAAATAGTTGGCCTCAAAAGGATGGTGTAATACTGTTTAATGCTACAGATTGCCTCCTTCACCCATCCCCATACATCTATATCTGTCTTCATATCGGTATATTATAACATGTCTCTATTTAAATCCACGGATCATATACATATAGTCTTCATATAGTATTCAATATCTATAATATAATTATAAATATACATATAGTATTCAATATCTATGATATAATTATATATATATACAATATATTTTTTTATAATACATCTATTACTTAAATATATTTTTCTCCAGCCTGGCCCACAGGTGGTGGAGCAAGTGCCCCACTGGGTCCAGTCCTCGCGTTGCGACGCAACCGCGACGCCCCCGCGGCAACGGCACCGAAAGGCGACGCTGAGACTGGGACGCCCATGGTGCAATCCACGGGGCACGGGTTCAGAGTGCACACCTCACATGATGTCGCCCAGAAAAAACGAACTGGACCACATTTGGATCAGTTTTTTGGATCAGTTTTGGAGAAATTTGCTTATCTGTGGACCATAGTGGACCATGATGTTCCATGGATTCATAGATTTCACAGTCCCAAGGTCCCAACAAACATGAAAATACGGAAAGATTAGTGGAAAAAGCTGGTGAAAATATCTGAAAATCATGAAAATATATGAAAATGATCTATAGAAAATTTGCAAGAACTTGATATTCTCTCGACTTCAGCAGGACGACTGCGATGGGTATGGCACCTGCTCGTCATCTTCTGTGCCCCAGCAGATGTGGCCACCATCCCTGCATCGAAACAGGATCTAAGATGATCTAATGATGATCTAATTGTATCTAAATGCTATTGAGTGAAACTCAACTAAAGACATAACATGAAATAACATGAAATAACATGAAATAACATGACATAACATGACATAACATGACATAACTAAACTCACAACCAAAGTCATCTTCACTTGGTTTCGTGCTTCTCGTATTTCTTTCTCTCGCGCGTTCTCCGGGATACCTGGACATGTCCATTTCTCAAGATTTCTCAATTTGTTCATTGATCAAATTCGAAGTTTTCGAGAAACTGAGCAAAGAACCCCCGTGCCACAGGTGGCAGAGCATGCACCCCACTCTGCCCACTCCTGAGATCACGTCACATGGCATACATGGCCACTCCACACTCAAAACATCTCAAAACATCTCAAAACTCGATGGAACAAGCGATGGAACAAGCGTTGCAAAACACCCCTTTTTTTAGTTTCGATCTGAGCTTGCGACGTCCCACTCGCAATCAATGGGACAAGGTGGCAAATCTGGGCAGCTCTTGGTATCAGCAGCAAAGCCCTGAGGACAATTTGATTTCGCTTAGTATGTGACATATGTGGTTGTGCAATGTTGGGAAATGTAGACCACTAGCTTTGCGACAATTTTTTCGTGGTTTTTGATGGCTTTTCATGGTTTTTCATGGTTTCAACCAAAAAATGGGCCGTGCCTCACAAACAGTTCCTTCAAACTGCGGTTGGACAGCAATGCTTCGGCTTCTGGACTGTTGACCTTAGCAGTTTTTGTGCAGAGAATGTGGAGACTTCGACACCTCCACACCCTCCCTCTCCACCCTCCACACCCGCGGCCAAAGGGCCAGTGCCGCACGAAGAGGAGCAATCGGTCCAGGTGGTCCACTCCTCAGAGAGTCAGACATCTCAATTTCTGTCCATCTCTGTCTGTTCTTTACTATTTCAGTATCAGATATCTTACTGTAAGATGACTCCTCCACCTTTTCCAGGTCAAGGTTCGGAAAACAAAAAATGCCCATCTGAGGCTTGTGCTGTCCACTGACAATTCACGGGACAAGGTTTCAAGAAACAACCTGCATCCATCAAAGAAATGCTAGCACACTCGCTGCACGCGTCACGCGATCACGTGCAATCACGTGCAATCACATTCACAAGTCTTTAAAGTATGCATGGCTCAAATGGCTCAAATGGGTCAAATGGGTCAAACTACCCAATGACTGCCAATGACGACCTGTACCTTTTGGTCATGGTCATTCTACCTGGTACCAGCCGCCATCAAAAGATCAGAGGTGGCCAGGCGATAGGGGCTCCACCTCTGGATGCTTTGCTGTCGCCAATGCACTGGCTGCCACCGTAGTCAGCTTCAAGCTGGGACAGCGGGCTCCACGGGCGCCACGGAAGAAATACATGGAAAACAATGGAAAACATAGGGAAATCCTATTGATTAAAATGATGTGGTCGTAAATTCCCATTGATTAAAACGATGCGGTCCTAGTCTTGGTTGTGACAAACTGTGACCCGTGAGAACTGAGCTATAATCGGCTATAATGAGATATGATGGGATATGATTGGATAACATGTGATCAAATGGGATCAAATTGGAAGATGAATGGATCATCGCAGTGCACGTGAGACATGTGAGACATGTGAGACTTCCATAGACTTCCATAGACTTCACCAAAATCACCAAGGACTGGACCGTGATGTGTCTTTCTCGGCTGGAAGTGCCGTTCCCACAGCTGTTACTACAATCAGCCCAGTCATTCCAATCCTTGGCAACACGGTGCAACAACTGTTTTGATATATGATGACTTGGTTTGCAAAAATGGAATGCCCTGGAAATTGGTTTGTTCTCACTGTCGTCTCTGCTCAGTTCTCAACAGCCCACCTGACAGAAAACTTGATGCCAACGCCAGGGCCATCAGCTGAGTCAAGAGCCACATAAGAGCCACCAACGGCACCAACGGCATCAGCGGCTTGAGGCGCCAACGTGCAGTGGATCGGGCAGAACTTCAGATTACACTCTCTCTCCTGAGAGTTTCCGCCTTCACAGTCCTGGTGAGAAACGGGTGACAATGACCACATCATGGCGATGCATTTAATGGAGAAATACTGTGCAGAACTAAATCAAATAGAATTTTTGTGGAAATGTATAGAAATGTATAGAAATAAGATCTGAGGAGGCACTGAAGCTCCCCCTTCTGGTCCTTTCCACCATGAAGCATCGGAGTCTCCACCTCGGAACGTGGATGTGGAAAGAGGTGGAGAAAGAGGTGGAACGGCTGAGAACCAAAGGTGGAGCAATGCGCGTGTTTTGGATAGGTACGTCCGAGGGCGCTGCCACCCGCATGCGAATGCCGGTGCCTTCGCGCAACGCGTTGCAAGGAGCAAGGCACCGTTGCAACGGAATGGTGCAGAGTGATGCAAAAAAAATGGATCAAAGTCACAAGAGTTGAAATCGCAGTCGGCACGGTATGCCTGGGCCACAGGAGGTGGAGCATCCTCTCCAATCTTGCCAATCCTCGAAGGGCTTACAGATGCTTACAGGATTTGGCGGAGATGGAGTAACTGAGTAACTGAGTAACGGATTGGAAATGGATATAGCTTTATATACTTGACAATATATATATATATAGCTGATTTAGTGTAGTGCGCTGGAAAGAATCTGAATGCCTTTGCTTCGAGCTTCATGTTGATGAGAATCTGAGGAGGCCACGTACCATTCACAGTCAACCGGACAGGTCTCCACACTGCAGTACTTCTTCTCATAGGTCCTCAGCTCCATGTCTCACAGACACTCCCAAACACTCCCAAATCATCCAAATCAGCACCCTGTCTTCTGTCAACTTCAGTGTTCAATGTGTTCGTCTGGTGAAAGATTCTTAGTGTGATCTACTGTGTGTGTAAGTGGTGTAAGTGGTGTAAGTGGTGTAAGTGGTGTAAGTGGTGTAAGTGGTGTAATAGTGTGAGTCTTGCAGGTCACTTTAGGTTCCTGAGGGCTGAACAGGTTCCCACCTACTGCTCCACATTCTCTGCCACCAAACGCGGCTGGAAACTGTGATTTCTGTTGTTTTCTGTGATATTTACAGTCTTACGTTTCTGAAAACAGTGGATTTGTGTCCAGAATCATTCTGAAACTGCCATCATGAACTTGGAAATATGATGAAATATGAAAGCGCTTGGAAAGTTGAAGTTTGGAATCCTTGCTTAAACGCCTTGGAAAAGATTTTGGAATGGTAAGTTCTTGTCCAATCCCACCTGGACTTCACGATTGCGTTCGGAAATTCCAGGTCCACAGGTGACACCTCGAGGAAAAGGTGGCAAGGTGGCGGGCAAAGGTCATAGATGGTCCAATTTCGAATGTCAGAAAAATGTGGAAAAATCATGCCATCGATATTCATCACGACTCAACTATTCTAAACCGACACGAAATACGAATAAAGATAAATAAAAATGAATGAATACAAACAGATAGGATAGGAACATCAAGAAATCATCACAAGTCCAAGTTTCATCAACTTTGATCAACTTTGATTGATTTTTGGATTGATTTTTGGATTGATTTTTGGATTCTTTGGGAGGCTTTCGCCAAGCCCCCGGGCTGCAATCCGACCAGCCGGTCCAGTCGTAGAGCTGGCAGTCCACCGGGCACATCTCCAAGTCGCAGGTGCTCGTCTGCACATGTGACCTGTCGTGAACATCGTATCTACATGGAATCTTGACGAATTGATAACAGTATTTAACAGTCACCTGGAGAGATGTTAGAATCTTTAACAGATCTTCCTGTGAAGAATTGAGAAGAATTGTGGAGATATTGTGGAGATTCTATGTGAAAATCTGTGGAGATGATCTGAGCTGAGCTCAAAACGTCTTGTTCATGGGGCACGCCTTCCCCAGTTCATTTCCGGCTTCCTCAGTGCGGAGTGCGGACCAGCAGTGAAGTAGTGATGTGAACGAAGCCCTCTGGAAATCACCGAGTGAATCACCACAATTGTGCGGAAACGCTTTCCTGGCACATGGCAGATGTCCAACTGCAAATGAATCAAAGATATACATTTGTTTCGTTTTTCTCATGCCATTTTATTTTCGTCACTTCAGCTTCTTCACGATGATTTTGCTTCGGACCCGGTGCAAGTGACACTGTTTGACACTGGTGACAGAAATACGTCGTGCCAGGGCCACGAATTCCGGGTTCCGACTCTGTCTTGCAGGACCGGTCGCAGGGACTCCATTCACCTCACGGAATGTCCAGGTGGGAAAGAGTGACGAAAAAGACACCATCGTAAAACATCTTAAAGCAATGATTAAAAACAAGCAAAATCATACAAATAACATATCATAATTTATAGCATATTTACCTGAAAGATTGAAATTAGATCATAAATCAAATCTGTTTCGAAAATCGAAGCGAATCTGAGGCCGGCGCCCCAGTCGCTGAGTTCACAATCCACGGGGCACTCTCCGTTGTCGCAGGTCTTGTTCTCTAGCAGCGTTCCACACTCCAGACCTCCACAAAAAGTGCCATGAAAGTGCCACGGGCACAGGAAGTTGGTGAAGATTGCTTCGAAAAATGTTCGAAGTACCACTGACACATCACTGAACCACTGAATTCGGGCCGCAGCGATTCAGCAGAATCGTCGAATCTGAGTCTGGAACCACCATAGCTGGCAGCAACCTGGCGTGAAGCTACACCAAAACTGATCAAAATCGTATCTGACCCGGTGCTTGTCCGGCTAAGGCTCCCATGGTGATTAGCTTCTCAGTCTATCTCATTCTGCCGTGGGGTTCATGCTCACGAGGCTCACCTTAAGCTTGAAATATCGTGAAAATTGGTGGTTCAGATTGGTTCAGCATATTCAAAATGATTCAAGATGATTCAACTTTCGATCCCAATTGGATCCAATTGGATTTAATCAGCCCTTCCTTGGGGGTTCCGATTCACCTTGACACTTCGGCTTCGCTTGGTGGTGCCAATGCCGCAAGTGACGTCACAGAGATCCCAAAGGCCCCAGTCCTCACTTTATCGAAGAAAGCAACATCTGTTTCGATTCGAACACAAATTTCAATGAATCCCAACAAATACGGATCAAGTTTCAAAGGATGTTATCGAATTTTGGGACGATTTGTCGGACTCTGGGATCATCCCAGTTACATGAAACCCAACATGTTATAGTCTTGCACGCGATACAGCCTCAAGCACCACTGTGGAACCAACATTGAAAAAAGAAAGCGCAAGAGTTCAACAAACATCGGAAGACCATCTATAGATTCCTGATGCTCGTGTTTCTTTGTGCAAACAAGTCGCATTCATCACGCAATCCACGGGACAACTGTTCTGTCCACAACTCGTTTGTTCAGAGTTGGACCTCACACAGTGCACAGCAGCACTCGTCATGGGAGGCCATTGGCCGAAGATCCGGTGCTGGATGCGACGTGCCAAGGTGTGGGCCCAATCTGTGCACATGTCTTGCCATCTCCCACTGGTTGGACCTGAAAACGGCGATGGCATCGTTTGGGCGAACAGGTAAAACCAAACATCACTGTTTTCTGAAGTAATGGAAACACTCTTACACTGTCTTACACAACTACGTGTATAATCTATCATAGTATCTATCTATCCATCCATCCATCCATCCATCCATCTATAATTATACACACATATATATATACAGATATATCGAATTCTATCGATACACATTTGATCATACTTGGGCTAGTGGTTTGGGACCTGTCGTGATCTTGATCATATTTTGAGACTTTGAGATCTAAGGTCAAGACAGAGACGCTGCGGAAGCGCTTTCCTTGGTCAAGGTTTTAAGCTTTTGAGTTTCAGCTGAACAGCATTTGTTTCACCGTGAAAGCATGTCAAAGCATGTCAAAGCCACTTAAAAGTCATGGAAATTCTCACAGAAAGCTGCAGATATTAAATACATTGAAATGCAGCGAAACGCAGCTGTACTCTACTAATTTCTACCAATACTTTGTTCAGAAACTGCGACAATCTGCTAATCATTTCTTATCTCTGTCCGAGCGTCGAATCCCTCCGCCACAGGATTTGGAGCAGCCACCCCATGAATCTCAAGTGCTGTGCCGGTTGAAGATGCGAACAAAATGTGTGAAGACATTTCAACGAGTTCCAGAGATGTTCTGTTGAGATTTCCGAAAGATTTTCAAGACCTCAACTGATTTCCAAAACATGTTTCTCGGTTTTTGTTCTGAAAATTCCGACCTGAAGTCGTCAAGTCGTGTCAAGTCGTGTCAAGTCGTCAAGTCGTGGCCATCTGAGGTCATGACCCCAATCTGCATAGAGGCAATCAACGGGGCAGTCGCCCAAGTTGCATTCCCCAAACTGCGTGGCATTTCCGGGGCAGGCCACACCACCGAACTGCGCCACCTGGAGCAGCGGCACATCTGGAAATTTCTGTGAAATCTATGGATATCTATGGATATCTATAGATTCTTATAGATATATCTATATAGATATCTTGTAAATTTCTGTGAAGATCTTTCATCTCAATATCTTCTCAATTCTGTTCATACCGTATTCATACCTTCTAAATCCGTCCAATCATTGTCACTCAAAAAAACAAGTGTATCTATCGGAGTATCAGCCCACGATTCGGGTTCGGGTGACTCTGACCTGCTGAAATCCGCGATTTCGGGACTTTGTGCCAGGACCGCAGGTGACACTGCAGGTGGAGTACTTCCTCGGCGCAACTGGGATCATGATCAATGGATTAACAGAATCTACAGGAAAGCACGGCCCTCCCACAGGCTTTTTATATGGTTTTCTCCTTTTTTTTTTTGTGAAACCAATGCTGGGAATCCAATTCTCCCAAGCTTCGACCAGTCTGCCCAAATACAGTCCACCGGGCAGTCGTTCTTGGTGCATTCCTCGGGCAACATTTCACCAATTTGGCAAACCAAAAAAAGATGGACAATCTATATATCATTTATATATCATTTATATCATATATTAAACTCCCATGCTCAAAAACTTTGGTAAAACATGTTAAAGGTGTTTAAAGGTTACTTTTTCATCTTTTTGGATGTTGCGATATCGCCAGTGTGTCAATTGTCATGACGACATGCAGTGTGCAGCATAGTTCAAACATGTTGGAGGCCAACATGAACAGGGGATTGGCAAAGAGCTTTCAAAGGTGAAGAGTGTAAAAAAACTCCAACTTTCATCATCCACTTTCAGAGCAATAAGGCATTGGTTTTCTTGATACGGGGGTTACAAATTGTAATTCATGCGCACCTCTAAGAAATTGGGTGTTCTTCATCGATTGACATTGCCCAAAAGAAATCTTCGCCTCCCTTCAGCTGAGAAACTCTGGTGTCTTTGGTGCTTCCTTCGCAGGACTGCCCCTCTCCCTGAGCCATAATCGTCACCTTTCGAGTCCTGCAAAACCAGACACATCTGGAACAATCTGGAAATTCATGAAATTATATATGAAATTGATGAATTTGATGAAATTATATATATGAAATTGATGTATTTCAATATTTCTTAAAAATTGATTTTGGATTTCAAAAGCATCAAGGGGCCGGGCCAAGTCAGAACATCACGAGGACATCACGGCACCGAGTCACCGAGTCACGTCCGAGTCACCGAGTCACGTCACCGGTCGCTGGTCGCTCTGGGGCTGCGGCCTGATGGACTCGCCTCCGCCACAGGTGAACTGACAGACGCTCCAATCCGTCCAGTCACCCCAAACCTCGGTGGTACTCCAAGCGTCCGAGTGGCGAAGCGTGTGCCACCACCACTGCCACGACAGTTGAATCATGTTGAATCAATTGAAGCTGCTCCGGTTCACATCCATGTGATCCAATTTCGGATGTCATCCGATGCTAAGCGATGATAAGCTGGGGACGCAATCGACGTCGTCCTCAGAGACTCAGAAAATGTCGAAATTCACTTTCTGCGCCGAGCCCACCGAGCCCCGTGCGGCCAACGAATGGAAGGACTCGACTCGTCCTCACAAGCTCCCAGACTCAAAAATGTAGGAAACAAAACTCAAAAATGGATAAAAATGGATGAACATATTCGTGAAAATACGCATGAAATGTTGAAGTGAGAGAGCGTTGATCGCGGAAGTCGACTCAGAATTCGACTTCAGATTCCAAATTTTGACTCAGATTTTAGTGAAGATTCGAAGCAGAGTCAGGGTCGGGGTCGGGCCTGACATGTCGATTGCGGCTCCCAAGTGTCGAGTTGCCTGGCCGAGTTCGAAAGCCCATGGGACGGAAGCCCATTTCTGCAATTTCGGAACCACATCCCCAAGGGGGGCCTCTCTTTCTGCCCTCATCATCCGGCTCCTTAGATCACAGATCAGCTGAAACATGCAAAAAAAATCATAAAAATAAAATGAAGATGTAACAATGTAATAGAATGAACACATCAGGTGACGCAACCTAACACGAGTCCGACAGTTGTTGTTGCATTTGCGACCATTCTTGTCGCATTTCCGGCAAGAGGCTCTGCGGCATCCTCTAAGTCCTGCCGCCGTGAAAGGAGTCGAAAAGAAGCTATGAGTCTACCACAAGATCATACAAGATCCACAGGTCACGAAGGACGACTGCGACTGGTACCCCGGTCCTGACTGGGTGAGGCTATGACGTGTACAACCAACAGGCCCAAAATTCTGTAGTGACCTGGCAAATGTTTGGCAAACGCCGTGGCTGCAGGAAGGCTCTGCAAAAAAGAGTTTCTCAAGACTGAGCACCTGAAGAGCAGAAATTCATCGGAAAAGGCATTTCAATTGTCGTTCCACTTATGCCTTAGAGCCAAGGAATTGGAGGAAAACCAAGCCGCATCAAGCTGCAAATTCGCACTGAAACATCTTGAAACTCAGCTCTTTGGCAGTGCTCACATCCAGTGTCGCAAGGACACCTAGGTGCACTGGTTTTCCACTGGTTTTCCCAAAACATCAAACGCATCGTGTGGAAAACCTGAACTTTCCACATGTCCAACTCTAGAATCATCTGAAGCTCCCAAGATCAGCACTTGACAAGAAGTTGTGCAAACAAAAATAGGTTGGGCCGGAGCCGACACGGAATGCCGTGGCACTCCCCACTGAGCCAAAAGACCAAAAGGTCAAATTCAGTCAACATAACAGGGATCCAAAATTTCACGATGGCACCATTGATCATCCCCAAAGATCGATGCAGAGATTCCAGAACTTCAAGGTGATTCATCTGCCAAGGGCGTGTCTTTTCAACCACCACACAGCAGTTCTACTTGAACCTATTCTTCGCCGGGTCCAACCTTCGCAATATCCCATCTACGCCGCAAACATGTACATATATATGTATATATTAAATATATATATATAATATATTCTATATAAATAAGTTTCACATAATTTCAGATGGGGCATAATCCATAGCAAACTCTTAAATTACCGGAGGTATTCCTGCCAAACGTGGATCAACATTAGCGGAGTTTTCCACCAAGAATGCTGATAATTCTGAGCGCCACACATAAGGACAAAACTACTATATAATAAAAAATCACAATATCATCAAGCATCAAGCATAAAAAAATACCAAACTACGAGGGACTGTTCTTACCGCTTCACCACAAAATACCTCTAGAAGTACTAAAGCACCGGTGGTTGATGCCGCTTGCGAAAGAACAAAACCTCGTCCAACTGCTTATCGGGCAACTATACAATCATCCTTGGAAGTTGTACGTGATGCAAGAGCAATCACAAGAATTGAGCACTCACTTCGTTTCTGCCTATTGCACCACTAGCAGCATGCAGCATTTCTTTCAAATCTGGTTGTTTATTGTTTGCCTGGACTGTAGGCCCAAACAAACAAATCATGATCACCTTACATACCTCTTATTGCAATCTTGCGGTGTCCCCGTCATAGTATTGTATATTATATAATATTATTTTAGTAGGTGATTGACTTTAAAGATGGGATGTTGCTCTGATTCAATCGCCAGGTTTGCAAATGGCGTCCCCGCAACCAGCCAGTGATGTTCATAGTAGCCCGCTGGTTGGTTGGTCGAAAAGTTGATATGTACACAACCAATTTTGTCGCATGGAGCCGGATCTTATGGGATATCACTGAATTAAGCAACACTATGGTATATATATATATATAACATGGGTTTATAACATTATATAACCATCCAAAACTGATAATCAACAACAGTGATGTACAGCAACAATACTGGCTAAATGCCTTTCATTTTCGCACACGGGTTTGTCAATTTATGGTACATTCATCAGGACGGTGTTTACAATCCACTCCTGGCATGTGGTTTTAAAAAACCATCCCCCCAAAAAAGAATCATGTAGCAAGGTTGAAAACCAACAAATATTTGAAGCCCCCAGGCACATTGGATTTGGGGTTCCGGGAAAATTACAAACACCAGGCTTCAATTCTTGGAGATGCAGCCCCCACTCCGCATCCGAAATCCGCCGAACCCTGCCTTCGCCAAGGCAGGGGCGGCGCCTGGGACCACCCCGCAGGTGTGGAACTTCAAATGCCTAAAATGCTTCGCGGCACATCGACCAGGCACTCTGGCTACAGGCATTTGTTGTTCCAGCGTTCAAGCCTGCCGCTTGCCTCCATAGGCATCGGTTGCTCGAGCGTTCAAGCTTGCCGTTTGCCTCCATAGCCATCGGTTGCTCGAGCGTTCAAGCCTGCCGTTTGCCAGCCTTCACACCCCTAATATGCTTCGCGGCAGCTTCGACCAGGCACTCTGGCCACAGGGTTGTGTTGTGCGTTACAGCGTTCCGCCGCAGATCGGCTTGCTTGGCGCGAAATGCTGCAAGATCAGCTGCAGGTGGACGTCGTCTGAGTTTCCTGCTGGGAAAGTCAAGGGCTCTCCAGTGTTCTTGTAGCGCAGCTTCAGTAAAGTATGTTGCTGGTTGTTGGAACAGAGCCCTTTCGGCTAGCTCTTTGAGATTCAAGGACCATTGCGTAAACATGTGTCGATGGTCCAGTTGTTTGTACAGCAAGTTAGCAAACTGGTGCAAGCTCGTAGGGAGATGCCAGAGTCGCAGGTGGCTGTAATTCGTAGGCCAGTCAAGTGGGCACAAAGTGGCCGTCTGCTTCCACTGCTCTGGAGTGATTCCCCCTTGAGATGGAATGATCACATCAAGAGAGACCCAGATGGGCCGGATTGCCTTAAAGCCGTGCATGGTGGTAGGCTCTATGACACCCATCTGGTATCCTCGTATGACTTCCGAAAAGCAGCCAGAGGCTTTGTAGTCTTCGTCGATACCAAGGTCCAGCGTCCTGAGCGATTTTGCCTGCTTTCCTGGATACCAAGGTGGCTGCCATTGCAGCACAGCCGGAGCTGATGAGACTCGCTATGGGGGAACGTAAAGTCACCCTCATACACTGCGACTATGCATGTGGCGACCTACTGATCCAACAGAGCTTGGGTATAACCTTGTCCTCCTAGAAGGTCCCCAGGGTGAGCAAAACATGCGTATGGCCACCTGCTCTTTGTGGACTTGGATGAAGGCACCCATCGCTTCGATCAACTGCAAATCACTCATCCGAATGTGATCCCGCATGGTGTCAGATGCGAAGGTCTCCTGTGGGTCCTATCGTGGGTAAGTTTTGACCTCCCTGACCACTTCCAGCGTACCCTGGATACTCTCTTGAAAGCAGCTGGTGAGGGGTGCATGGAGTTGCATCTGTGGCCATTGAAGTTCGCATGTTCGATCTCGTGATTGAGACAGAACTGGACCCACAACAAACCCTCATCAAGATGATCCCCATTCCGGGTGGAGCTGGTGAGGAAGGTGGACAGATCATTCGAAACCTGTTTGTAGACTTCTTATTAGGATTCTCACTGCGGGCTCTCATCTTCCTCCTTAACATGGTGTTACCCCAGCTGGATGCCTATCACACAGGCAGGCAGATGCAGCACCTACAGCCATGGATCAGTGTGGCTCTGGCTCAGGGCCAAGCACAAGGACAATCAGGCAGCGGCTCACTGCAACTTCTCATTATGAAGCGTATGCTGGATTCTATGTTTTGACGCTTCGCACCATTGCTGCTCTTGGCGGACTGCTCTGCCTCAATGCAGCCCCTGCAGCTATGTGAAGAAGCGGGTAATCCAGGCAGTATGGAATCCAACGTAATGGCAGGACGAGCGCTGCTAGGGATGTCTACAACTCCCGACTGGCGGCGGCCACGACAGGTATGCCATCTTTCTGGTGCTTGATAAAACAATGCAAGGCTCCAATAAAAGTGCTGCTTACAGAGCCTACCGGCGAATTGCGCCGAAGTCCATTGAAGTCATCCTCCTTCTATACTTTGTAGCTCGTGCATTTTGTGGTCGCCTCATCGAAAAGCATGCACAAGACACAGAATATTTCGACCCGGGTCGAGACTGGCCGCATCCAATAGAAGGGCATGGGAACATCCCATTGGTTTTGCAACAGTTGTCCTTTCTGGGAGACACGCGAAGTCGCCGAGAGCTCTTGGTCTTTGCACAAGCCAATCCGTCGACTACCGCTATGGGTATCTCCCAACCTGGCATTCCAGCGACGCATGGCCTCGGACAGGAAAACGAAGGGTACAGACGGTCAGGATATTACGCCGATTTCTCACTCCAGCAGCAATCCTCATGGATGGGCAGCATGATCAATTTTATCGAGATGTACTGCTAGAGAATGCTGGACATGGAGATGGACACGTTCTGGCTCACTGTGGCGCTCCTTCTTGCCATTTTAACAGGACGCTCTGACCTGTGTATTGCAGGAGTATTTGGTGCTGGCAAAACCAGGTCCCTGGCAATTATTCTGCTTGTCGCCCTCAGCTGTGAGCTTGAAGATTTCTCTGCAGTGGTATTCAGGAAGGAGAACGTTGCTGCAAAGGCGCTAGCTGATCAAATCTGTGACCTGCGGCCGCCGATCGAGGAAGGTAAAGGCGAGGCTTATGGGACGCGCATGGATGTCCGCTGCAGTGATAGGAATCGCATAATTGCCCAAAGACGGATTCTCATCGCCACTGGCGGATCTCTACGGCTGAATTGTCAATGAGGTACTCTACGTTCAACCTCTGGCTTGCCAAAGTGTGGTTTGCCTTCATAGACGAGAGTCAGCAGCATGGCAACTTTCATGAAACAGTTTCTCTTGCAGCCAATCCAGCAGCCCGCACTGATTGTCTTTGTAGGTGACCACAGACAAACCCCTGGGGGACTCTTGAAGGGGCGTGCGGCAGGAACTAATCGGAAAAAGCTGCTTCAGCGACCACTTGGCTTGCGTGCGCTGAATCAAGTCGGAGACTACCTGCCGCCTACCCGACTCTCTATATAATATCATCGCTAGGCTGTGGCCTGATGCGTGTCAAGATGACAACTCAGACATCTTTCAAATTCGAAGAGTTGGTCAAGACATTCACACTGGAACATGGGTAGCGATAGTACAGAGGCAGCACTTACCGTCAGCAGTTCAACGACTCCTCGATCCACGAACGTTTAAGCATCTCAATGTAACGAGCAGCCTTGTTGCAAAAGCGCTCACGGTCATGTTGATTGCCACGGCACCGGAGGAATTTGGACTCCCGGAATGCGCGGATACCGTGGAGGCAGCTGGCCTGAAAGACCCCTATAGGTGGGGTGTCATATTGCCGAACAGTTCGAGCGTGTCCCTGCTCACGTACATAGCTATAGTTGCAGTACGGTACCCGGAACTGGTTGCCCACGGGCATGGACCACTACAGATTGGCCACTTCGTCATTACCGTGGTCACATAACTGGTCTGCCGGCCACTTTTCCCCTGCTCGGTTTGTTTTTTGTTTTGTTTTGTTTTGTTTGTGTGGTTTTTGTTTGGTTTTGTTTTGTTGTTCGGTTTTTGCTTTGTGACGGAATTGTGACGGCATAGGACTATGTATCGGTCCACCACCAGTTTACTTTTGCGGCCCCTCATAAGTAGACGGCCATCTTTGCGTCAATTAACTAATTAACTCATCGCTGCAACATGCAATCGAACGTGTTGAACGACCTGGCGAAAGCCAAGAGGCGTCGGACGGAAAAAATACAGATTGGCCACTTTGTAGCGGATGATCAAACAGTGGAACGTGGAGGCTTCCGCGCCGTCTTCTGGGATGCACCGAAAGACCTTCGTAATGCAGTG